TATATTACAATGACCAATAATTTCTGTATACATCAGGGAGTCTCTTATTATCCATTCTATTCATATAAACAATAAAAGGATGCCAGTCAGTTGCAAAAGAGTCAACGTGTTTTATCTCTTTAACTATATGCAATTTGGTGGTTAATTTTTCTTGCAGTGCTACCTGCCATAGCCTTGAGTACCCTGCTGCAATTGATACTCCTTGCATGTTTTTCCACCTTTTTGGTATGGTCTGTCTTGTTGCTGTCAGAAGATGGCCTATTAAGGTTTTATATAAAATGGATTCATTTTCTCCCAGAAAAAGAGTAAGAAGTGCTAATTCTGGAGATTTAATAATTGACTGGTTTGTAATTTTATTTATTTCATTAAACACTTCTTTCCAAAACTGGTCTACCTTTTTGCAATACCACCAAAGGTGTTGAAAAGATCCTTACACTTACAGTCTCTCCAACACACTGGTGACATTGCACGGTTAATATGTGAGAGTTGAAGTGGGGTCAGATACCATTTTTGAAGTATTTTCAATGGAATCCCCCTGGCTGTGCTAGAGATGGCTTTATATGGGAATTTTGTAAACATTCCTGAACATTTCTCTTCATCGATTTTAATATTCCAGTCATATTCCCATATCTCCTGGAACCCCTTTGATGATCCTAGATTTACCGCAATCAGCAACGAATAAAGTGTTGATACTACTCCTTTATTTGTTACAGCTAGAGAGAGGAGAAGATTTTCAAAAGGAGTGAGGCACCTTGTGGCCTGTTTCACAGGGTTGGCCTAATAAAATTACTTATTTTATACCAAGTTAGCCAACATAACATGTACATAAGCCTTATGTATATTTTGTAATCTCTTTGTGCAATTGCACTCCTATTTGTGTTGATTCAAATAGTCCCATTGAATTTGGTGAGGCTTACCCCTGAGTAAATGGACTAGGATTGCAACATAAAGTAGATTAAGTACTTGGATTAAATTATCGGTAGTTGTATCCCTCCATGCATAGGTGATCTCTGTTACCCTTCCTTTGTCCCAAAGTTAAGGGTCATAAGGCTTTTTGAATGGGGAACATCAATATTTCAAAAGGAAGAAATACTCTCTCACACACAGATGCAGCCTATTTCTGAGACACTCAGACATGGATGGAATGTGTATTGTTTCCCTCTCCTTTTCCCAGTTATGGTCCTTCCATTATTGACCATTTCCTTGATTTATATTTCTGTTTTCTGACACCATTCGAGGAAAGTACACAGGCCTGTACTGTACTCAAGTTCCATTGCATCTTTAGTTAAAGGGCTTGTGCATACTGTTATAGTGACTGGAATGAGGTTACAGGCTTTTCTAAATTTAGATGTTAGAAAACAGAGAGGTCAAGTGACAGGCAGGGCATCAGTCCAGTTTATGGAAAAATAAAAGTTAAAGACAATAGAACTGGCAACTAGGAAGAAGAGGGAACAATCTGGTTCAGCTAATAATTTAAACCAGTGGTTCCCAACCTTGGGTAACCCAGTGGCCTTGAACTGCAGCTCCCAAAAGCCTTCACCACTAGCTGTGTTGGTTGGTTTTTGGGGGAATTGTAGTCCAAGAACATCTGGAGATAAGGTTGAGAACTGCTGATCTAAACCAACATGGTTGTCAGGTTTGCACCCGCCCCCAAAACTCATCTCTGTGGCCAAAACAAGGAAAGATGTTCTTTTTAAACTTCAGAACAAACTACAGTTCCCCGATGCAGTGGGAAACTGGAGCTTTCAGATATCTTAGATGTGCTGGAAGCCCGACAAGGCACAAAGTTTAATGAGCTTTTGCACTTTAATGTGCAGGTTTTTTTTTTTAAGAACTGCATATAGATACTGTCTGAGTAGCAGCAGATGTGGAAGGGGACCATAACCATGTCTGTCTGTACTGCACCATGCTGTTCAGCTGTTGTTTGTTTTGGAGGAAATCCTGCATTGATGCCAATGAGGATTTTCCTCCCAATAAAAACAGTACCTTCAGAGGAGGACTGTCCATCAGCATTCCCGCAGGTTCTCCTCTGCCATTCCACTGATTGTTCTCCACCTTCTTCCATTGAGTCTTCTTGCATTACTAAAAGCAAGCAGTTTATAGACGAATGTATCTTTAATGTCACATCAAGAAAAATACAGAATGATTGGGACAACCCATGGTTCTTTGGGTTCCTACATATGGGGAATTGAGGTTTTTCTCCTAAAGTAAAAATAGAAGCATTAGTCCTCTTCCATGCAAAGCAGGAGGAGAAGGACACTTAGGCAGATTCACCTTTGTGATCACCTTTTCTGAATCGTTTTGCCCTCAAGCAAGGAGTGGAAATAATTCTGATGCCTATCCTAAAACTGCACATTGTTTTTGAGTGTATTTTTCTCCATATAATGAATAAGCTTAAGAGACTGGTGAAAAAGTTGAAATTCATTAAAAAAATTTTTTAAATTGGGGTTTATTTGAAAATCTGTTGTGCTTATTATGGGCCATCAGATTACTTCTGGGTTCTTCAAAACTTTTCAGTAAGCAATTTTTTAAAAAGTAGGTTAAGGGATAGAGGTATGTAGTTATGTACCATCAAGTTGCTTACAACTTACGACAATCAGAATGTCCTGTTATTAACATCCCAGATCAGGTCTTGCAATCTTAAGATTATGGCTTCTCATATTTCTTGCTTCTTTCCATTTTTCCAGCATTATTGTTTTTTCCACTAAGTCTTGTTTTCTCAGGATACATTTGGAGTAAAGTAGTCTCAGTTTAACCAATGTTTGCTTCTAGAAAGTTCAGACTTGAAGTGATCTAGCACTTTTTTTGTTATATGTCTTGATTCAATTTCATTTGACTCATTTGTATCAAGTATTGACAATAAGTTTCTGTTTGTGGCAGGAGGACCCATTGTCTTCCATTTACATCGAAGAGCTGGGCAAACGAGAGAGCACAATTCCTCCAAAGTACAGAAAACTATTGGAGGTAGGTAATTGGCCCTAAACTCTGCTTCAGACTGGTTTTCTGTGCTGCAAACTGGGAGGCAAACTCATCACAAAACTGACTTTGTATTTCAGAGTAAAGAAGCTGACAAGGTAGTTCCCCCACCAGGAGCAGTGGGAGAATCTCAGGTACAGTATGGTTAATTTATATAGCACAAAATGATGCAATTTCAAATTCTTCTTACTGGTGTCTGGTGCTTTATAAATTTTATATTATCATCATTGGGGCTGAGAGTAAGTATGATTCTATCTGCATATAATCTGTCATTTTAACCAGATTTTGTTTTAACGGTTTTACTTACCACTTGAGCCACTTTTGCTGATGTGGTCCCTGCCTACAGAGTCCTGGTATTTGTTGTTTGGTGAGATACTTAATATTTTCTGTTATCATTCACAGGAATACAGTTGAATTCTCTATCTACAAATATCTCACCAAACTGGACATCCCAGTTTTTTGTAGCCCAGAGCCACTCAAAGCACTGTCAACCTGCAAATTTCCTTTCAGTTAGCCATGTTTCAGATTTAGCTGCTGCTAAATAAAGTTGTGACTCAGGATTTGATTACATGGCAAAATGTGATGCAGTTCATGGACGATTAACTACCAGGACGATTAACTATCCAGTTTCAAGAGTTCATGCTGCACTTCCCAATCATATTAACCTCCCCTAAGGTCACATCCCCATCATCTTCTCCATCCTTCCGTTCATTGCTTCCCCTTTATCCATCCTCTCAAGTCAACTAATACATCTGTCAGCCATGAAGACATTAAGTGTGTATGTTGGGAAGACTCAGTCCCCATTTTCCATATGACAGTGGTAACTTTTGTGATTCCACATAGTGCACAGGTATAACATTCATATCCTCTGCATCCTTTCAGCAGTTTCACACACGCCTGAGCAAATAACTTTGAGTAAAAAAGAAGACTACCAGTTCCTAGCTAGAGATAACTCCTTCTTTAATAATCAGGAATATAAAGAAATCTCTCTGGGGGAAATGATTTCCACTCCGGTCTTGCAGTTGTTTGCTCTTCCACCCTCTTTTCCCTTCTGCTGTTACTTCATAAGAATTGGGAACATGAGCCACTGCAACAATTGAAGCAGTGCTGTACTTTTCCTGTGTTACTTACTAAGGCCACAGAGAAATTAAAACCTCAGGTGATACGCTTTTTCAGACCAGGAGCTGATAGCCATAAACCTAGTTCTGCTTCAGTAAGTGTGCAATGCCCATGAATTGTAAGCTGCTGTTGGAGACATGGTGATAAGTATAACACAGTTTGTGTTTCCGTTTAGCCAACAATGACAGATGATGACCTAGCGGATGCTCTGTCATCTGATTTTACTTGCAGTGCCGTACTACCTGCTGGAGAGAAGAGTGTTGAGCCAAAAGAGGTACTGATTTTGCAACCTTTTTGAAGAATCCATATATAGCTTGAAATATAAATGTAGAAGGATATAATTTTTAAACCTCAACGTCCAAATGTGTTTTTACTATTTTATGTTATAGAAGAAACCTGCAGAAGAAGGTGATCTTCTGCAAGCTGAGTCCTTGACTTTGGTCCATACTTCGGCTCCTCCTAAAGAGAAGAAACCTAAACTGGAAGAGGTACAGAATATCGAAAGTATTCTCCCTCTGTATTAAATGATATTACAATGCTTTGTAAAAAGCAAGAGTTGCATGTAATTACTCTCTAATTTTGTTTATATATTAATTATAGATGCATCCCATCTTTCCACTAAAAATAGTTCTCAAGACAACCAACAAATATTGTTAAAATAAGTTAGAATTACATGGCTTAATAGTAGTAGCAATAATTTTGTTATTTAGCTTTAAGCTATATCAAAGCAAAAGGAACATTTGGAGTTCAGCAAGAATTTTAGTTCTGTTCACCAGTGCAAGGGAGAAGAGATGCAAGGAAATCTTTCATTAGATTTTTAAAAAATCTAATTTCATTATGCAAATTCACAACAACAGTGTTGTTCCTCCAGTAAAAAACTAAGCCACTGGAGGAAGTTGTATTGGTGGTGGTGGTAGGGATCTGCCTGTCCTTTAATTTTCTTTGCTAAATTGCCAAAATACTTTTAAAACTTTAAATGGAGGTGATTGTGTAAGAAATCAGGTGTGGCAATTCTGTCCTTTCTTAAACTTTCCATGTATAAATATATCTATAATTCACTACACTAGGTTTATATAAGAATACTGTATTTTTCTGTGTATAAGACAACCCAGTGTATAAGACGACCCTTCCTTTTCTGAATAAGACAACCCAGTGTATAAGATGACCCTTCCTTTTCTGACTCCAAATTAGAAAATTTGATCCCTGCTTTTCCCTTCCTTTTGCTAAGCCATGGAGCTTAGCAAAAGGAAGAGAAAAGCAGGGATCAAAGGGCTCCCTTTGACAGCCACTTTTCCCTTCCTTTTTGCGAAGTCCTGTGGCTCTGCCTCCTGCTGCTGTCTTCCATGAATAAAATGACCCTCAATTTTGTCTCTAATTATTTTAAGGAAAAGTTTTTTATACACAGAAAAATACATTAGCTTTGTATGTTTGTATGGTGGAAATGTATGGGCAGAACACTAGTGTGGATGGCAGTTGAGTACAGTAATTGAGTGCTAATTGGTTAGTGTAATTGGAGTGTTTTGGGGAAGACTCTGGTCTGAATGACAGTTTAGTTAGACCTGTGAGTTTGATATGGAATGTAGTCCATTTTAGAGTTAGTTAGGAAAAGTGCTCTGTGCTACAGTTTAAAAAGAGAAGTATGTGTGTCAGAAAATCTGAGAGTCTATAAAGAAGTTTTATTTTTCTCTTTAAATATAGAATATAGGTTTTAACCTATATTGTTCACATCCTAGAACATATCTTTCCCTTCATACTTTTTACTGTGGATTTAAATAAAAGGGGGGTCGCCCCGTGGGCCGCCCCCGCCGCTCAGCTGGGGGAAAATGGTGCCTATGGGGAAAACATCGCAAAGCGATTATTCCCCATAGGCAACATCGGTATGCGATTGCTTTTCTGATCGCAAAATCCGCATCGGTATGCAGATTTGTCGTTAAACGGGGCACTCGTTATACAAGGCACCACTGTATGTGTGTTAGAAAATCCGAGAGTCTATAAAGAAGTTTTATTTTTCTCTTTAAATATAGAATATAGGTTTTAACCTATATTGTTCACATCCTAGAACATATCTTTCCCTTCATACTTTTTACTGTGGATTTAAATAAAAATCCTATCTGTTTAAATTAAACTCTCCTCGTTATGTATTTTATGTGTAACTAAGAAAAAGTTATGCAAACTGCAACCAGACAATATACAATTCATAACATGGAACTGTGTTCTACTAGTTAGGAACAAAGTGATGAATTAAAAATACAAAAACTTTTTCACTAACCACCTTAATAATCTAAGGTACCAGTTTGAAGCAAGGAAAAGTCTGATTGGGACAGACTAGAAGGGGCAACCCTAGAATACTTGGCTGTGGTTTTTGGGAGTGGTTGTCCTTTCAGGTTAATGTCTTCCCCAGTGGCGCTATAGAGTGGTGGCTAGGTTCACGGAGTTTAATTGTGCCAGAAGGTAACCTGTGGAAACCACCTGGAGAATGTGGAGAATTCGATCCACTACTGTAAAAATTGGTGAAGTAATTGTCACCTCTCTTGGGGTGATAAAGTAGCGGCACCAGCCATGTTTGTATGTATGACATGCACATTTGTATAAAGTAGAGGTAATTGGGGGTTAAAAGTTTGTCTTCTGTGAATTATTATTAATTTCAAAATAATTTCAGTTTGATAAAATTACTTATCCACTGTGGACTGCAGGAATTCAGAGAGTTTCTTATGTACAGTCCTAATTTGTACTGAATGTCTCAAGGTGCTGAGTCTTTCCTAAGATGAAAAAATTGACGCATACAAGATGGAACTCATTGTGGTCAAGAAAAGGTTGTTGAATATTGTGGAATTTATGTTGTTCTTGGGTCTGTTAAAACAAATGTGAAACAGGATATGATTTAATTTCCTTTTTATGTCTGAAAAAATAAAAATTGCTTTCACGGTGTGCATTTTGTGTATTGGCAGGGTCCCTGTTTTTCCTCACATTAGATTTGATTGTTATGCCATTTTTAACTCTTGCCTACTGAGATTAAGTTTGCCTGAGCATCGCAATATATTAAAGTACCATCTTCACTGGCTGCCAGCAGATGTTGAAGAATATTAGCAGGTTTAAAGTAACATATCAGTTATTAATCTGAAATCAAATTATAGTGGCACAATTTATGGGTGTTTTGTCATTGTCATGATGCAAGGTGAACCGTTTGTGGTCGGTATCGATGTTCTTGGACTTCAGTTTCTAACCATTGACTGGCTGGGACTGATCAGAAGGCCACAACATCTGGAGGGCCACAAGTTGCCCACACCTTTGTACCATTTGTAAATCACTTGATGTTCCTGAGCTCACAGCTGTTAGACTGAGGTTTAGCATTAAAATGTGAGAGTCTCTACCACTGTGGTTCACTTGAAACTTCAGCACACAAAAAAAATGATTTCACAGAAATATGATTCAAGAGCCTGCTTGATATATTTGACCACAAGCAAAAGCAAAACACTTAGTTTATCCTCTCCTTTAATTACAACTGTTATTGTTTAAGAAAATCAGATTCATTGATGTAATGCTGCAGCCTCATGCCTAATAATCTCCGTACCTGCACGATAAGATGTTGGCAGTTCTTTGCATTCATACTGTTATCATCTCACAGGCAGCAATCAGTGACAGTGCCTTGGATGCTCTTGTGGATACGCTTGGCATGCCAGAACCGGAGCCTGAAGAAGACCTGAGCTCCATTGTAGAAGTGGAAGAGGTATTATTTACACTAAAAACAGCAACAACCAGAACGAGCAAAATGCTGTTTTTAAAAATTTTTATTTTTATTCATACAGAAATGCTCTGTCTGATTGCTCTTGTCTGTTGGCAGTAGAGAACAAAATTTAGCATTCACTTTGAAAATATTTTAAATATTGAAATATTTTAAATATTTTAAAATGCAAGTAGATAAATAGGTAGCACCACGGTGGGAAGGTAATGGCGTTCCATGTCTAGTCGCGCTGGCCACATGACCATGGAAGATTGTCTTCAGACAAATGCTAGCTCTATGGGTTGGAAATGGAGATGAGCACCACCCCCTAAAGTCGGCGACTGGACAAATTGTCAAGGGAAACCTTTACCTTTACCTTGCAAATATTTGCTAGTACAGGAGGGCACTTTCACCGTTTGTGCTGCTGAAGTCTGTTCTGGAGGAGCTCCCAGTTCATCCAATGAGGTTTTGAAGACAGTTAGAAGACAGGGAAGAAAGGGAATTGTCACTCCCCAAGTTCTGCTAACTTGCTGACTTCTGTGATAATCTTAGCACCCAGAGAGGTCTAAAGAAATAGACAGAGGTGTGCATGTCACAAAACAGAGCATGGCTTCCACAGATTAGACATGTATCCTGGAAGAATGGGAAAGATTCTTGGTAGGAAGCAGCTTTGTCATATGACTTTTTATCAATATATTCTGAGGCTGCAACCTTGTGAAGTCTTCACTGGGAGCTATTGCGTTGGATAGAGTAGGACTTGGTACTTCTGAGTCACCCAACTAGGATTGGGTTGCAGGTGAGTAAACAGCTGCATAAATAATGCATGATGAATAGCATTTTAGAGTATTGACTGTGTGTAAGCTGATACGACACATGAGCAAAGTCCTAATTTTAAAAGCATTTGCATCTCATTGACATCAGTGACATCACTGAGCCCAAAATATTGCCATTGAAAACTGTCGCCTCAACAATGATTAATTTTGGCTGAATCATTTCTGTAGGATGTGTAGTGAAACAAGAATATACCTCAAAGGGTTGCTATCAGCTGTAGTAGCTGTCTCTGTCACGTGTACTAGGGATTTAGAAAATGAACTATGGTATAGGGGAAGAAGGAACCAAATGCAGGAGAAAAATGTGTAGTGAAACAAGAATATACCTCAAAGGGGTTGCTACCAGCTGTAGTAGCCGTCTCTCTCACGTGTACTAGGGATTTTTAAAAAATGAACTATGGCATAGGGGAAGAAGGAACCAAATGCAGGAGAAAAATGGGAAGAAGATGCATTTAGGTGCAAAGAAACATTTGAGCCAACTATGTTTCTAATATCTTCTCCAGGGGCACTCCTAATTACAGCCAACATGATTGTTTGACCTCCAACTCTCTTACAGAAGGTCCAGCAAGACAATTCTTGTGTTGACATATTGTGATTCCTTTATTCAGCCAAAGGCCAAAGAAAGAAAAGAGAAGAAGCCTGGTGAACAAGATGATACCATTCCTCCAGAGTACCGATTAAAACCAGTCTTGGTAATTTTTATTTTCATTTCTAGTTTCTGTTGCATAAGTTTTACAGTCATCCTTTTTGCAAGTGGGAATTGGGTTTTAGAGAATCTACATTAACTGGAGTATTTAATGTTTTGCTGTTATGTGCTCATAAACATTTCCCTACTGATCCCCCATTAAGAGAATTAACTGGAATTATTTGAGAAGAGTGGCTCCTCCAGTTCTGTGCTAATGGTTGGTTGAAATAAGAAGGATTCAGAGAAAGCATGCAAGGGCCAAGCATTGAGCATTTGCTCAAAATTTTGTCTCTAAATCAGCGAGTTCAGCAGTGCTAAATGTTGACTGGATTGTGCCACAAAAAGCAGGAATGTTTCAAGGGTGTGGGTTTAAAGAATGCCAAGAATAGGAAATTGTTTCCTTGATGGCTATGCCGAGAATAAGCCAAGATAGAGGACATGGGGCCTTCTGTGCTGGGACGGAGTGGAAGGGAACCCGTTCCCATCTTGTATCCTGGTCCAGCCAACATCAGCCCGGGGACTTCACCTTCTTACACTTGTCTTTCTCTTCCTAAGGAGGGACGCTTCTTGCCTACATGAAATTAGAGTTAGTTAGCTCAGTGGTTTAGGCGTCTGGTGGCAGAGTCAGAGGTTGGGAGTTTGATTCCCCACTGTGCCTCCTTGGACTTGATTATTACAAGAGTAAAAAAATATATATCATTATTAATATTTCAGTATATCTGCATGTGATAGCCAGTGAAGTGGAAGGAGGGGGGCAGGGGAGTGGAATGGGAACTGCTAATGTTCATACAAGGCTGTTTTTTCCATCAACTTTAATATTGAAGAGATAAATACTGTTGGTGTTCATGTTTGTTTCCTTAACATGATATATATAATTTGGGTCTCAAGAATATGTTTGTCCTACATCCAAGCTATTACATTCTGTTTTCCGTGTGAGCAAGAAAGATGATTCTCACACTAGATGATTCTCACACTACTTCCATCTTGACTACTTCCATCTTGCATTTTTAAAAATTGCCAGGGAAATGTGAAACAAACAAACAAAAATCATTATTGCAAAAATATTGTCAGCTTTTGCTTTGGTTCCCCCAATATGTAAATTGCCTATTTAACAATAGTTGTATCTTTTAAATTTTAGGATAAAGATGGGAAGCCCTTGCTGCCAGAGCCTGAAGAAAAGCCGAAGGTTATTAAGTATATTTATTGGATTTTCTGTTCATTGCCTCGGGGGGGGGGGGAAATAACTGTTACAGAAATCGTGTATTTTGGTTTTTCTTTGTTTTTGGTCTTTGCAGCATTGCAAGTGTGTGTTCCCCAGCTACTGAAGATCATTTACCCTATTATCTTTGAGTCAGCATTTCTGAGTGTCTGTTACTTCATGGTGTAATTAGACTGACGTTATTCTGTGTTTGTCTTATGGATAAAATAGTTCTAATAGAACTGAGTCCAACCAGAAAGTGTTTCCCCCCCTTGAAAACCATCACACATGCGCACCAAAGGCCTGGGCACTCTCTGAGTTGTGTAAGGCTCGTGCTGCTAGCTTGTTTCGTGCCAGTCAACCTATTCAAGTTGTGTGCTTCCTCTCTAGAGAGGGGTGGGCAGGATTCACTTCCCTCCTTCCACGAGTATATAGTTAGAGCAGTAGGAACCTTTGTATTTTGTGCAGGTCAAATCCACTGCAGAGAAGTACATGCAAGATTCATTATTTTTATAGAGGCTTTGGTTGAAGGGGGTGGAAGGGATGAATATCTAATTTGCAAGTGGCACCAAAGTGGAAGAGTTTCTCATACTTCAGAAGACAGTGTCATGATTCAAGATGCCCATAACAAGATTCAGTAAGTCCGTATAGTGTTTGCTTCGAAAGCAATAGTACCCCTCTGTTTTGCATCACAGTTTAAGAAGAATATGGACAAGTTATAGTGTGTCCACAGGAGGATGGCCAAGATGGCTAAGGGCCTGCAAATCAAACTCTATGAGGAACAGTTCAGGGAGCTGACTGTGTTTAGCCTGGAGAGGTGATGTAACTATCTTCAAACATGTGAACGGCTATCTCATGAAACAGGCAACATGCTTGTTACTTGCTCCTCTAGAGGCTAGGGGCCAGAATCAATGGATTCAAATTACAAGAGCCATCTAGGCCAAACATTCAGAGGAACCTCTTGGTGGCGGTTCTATCAATAGAACGGATTGCATTGGAAAATACCAGATTTTCCTTCCTTGCTGGTTTTTAAATAGGTAGTATGACCATCTCTTAGAAAAGTCCTAGCTGGACCCAGTGTCCCTTGTGGTCCCTTCCAGCTTTGAAGTACTGTGATTCTACAAATTTCATGTCCGGGTCTGCCCCTTGAAATTTTAGTTGTTTATTATGGTCAAATGCTGCTCTTCTAGTTGTCTTTCTTTAATTTTCAAGTAACTCTGCATAACAGTTTTCATATTTCATTCATTTTCACTACAGCCTATTAGTGAATTTGACCTAGCTGATGAATTCTCAAAAGACTTTGCCAGCTCTCCTCCAGAAATATCAGAACCATCTAAACCTGCGGATGTGCCGACGGTTAGTTTCTGTTGTCTTAATATTTTGTTGTAATGGAGATAGGCAGCTAGGTGGAAGACAAAAGCTATATTCAAGCATTGAATAGCTACACTCCCCACCTCCATTTCCCCTTCTCCCCACCCCCTGCTTACAACGCACACTTCATATTTTTCCTCTTATACCAGTTGTGTATTTTGCCGAGGGCAAGATGTGGGTATGTTGGAACAGATGGACATACCAGGGGACAGGTAGTTGGGAACATGTGGGAGCTGGCGACTTCTAGCCATTCCTTTGGCAGGCCATGAGGTCTGTGAAGTTGGTATGTAAGCTTAATTGTGCAGCGGCCAACTCTTCATTTAACTTTCCAGTAGAATCTGAAATTTGGGCTCTCACGTATTTGATGGTATTCAAATGAATAAAATATTTTGAGGATCAAAACGTAAACATCTGTCTTGTTATTACAGAAGCCTGTAGCTGTTGAGCCTTCAGAAGCTTCCAAAGAAAAAGTAACTGCCTCTCCTGCAGTTCCTTCTGTGCAATCTTCATTACCTTCAGCGGTTTCTACTGTAAGTAACAACGGTTGGGCCCCCATCTGTGTTCATTATAACCAACATGAACGTAGACAACAGGAAGAATATTACAAAGTTGAGGCATGATAAACTGGCTCAAGGCAGAACCTTGGCCTTGCTGAGCGCGGGGGGGTCAGCAACATTTCCAAGCTCTAGTTCTGCCTCAAGTGTAATCAGGATGATATACAGTATTCAGAAGCTTTCTGAATCAGAGAAATGTGGTTGTCTCAAAGTGAGTCAAAACCTGGCCTTGTCTTTGCCTATGGCCAGCTCATACAGCCCCTGTGTTGTGACCGTTCTTTTTATTAGCTTTTGTTATTTTGATCTTATTTCAGAAGCCTTCAGTGGCTCAGCCCGAAAAGATTCCTACAGAACATGTGGTCTCTGCTGCTGCTGCTCCTGTTATACAATCCTCAGCTCCCACAGCAACCCCTCCAGTGAGTAAATGGTTTGAAAATTGCCATGAAAGATCAAAGGCACACTTGTTGGAGAATTAGAATGGTGGATTTTGTCACCCATACAGAAGATAGAACTTAAACTAGTGATGTAAAATATGTTTGCATTTCTGACAATCTTTTCCTCCCTAAATATTTCAGATAACTACATTGGGGTTTTTTTCACTGCTTCTGTTAATCAGTTGTTGGGTATGGATTCTCAAAGGCTTTCACACCCAGGATATGATGGTTGTTGTAGGTATTTTGGGCTGTTTGGCCATTTTCTGGAGGTTTTTCTTCCTAATGTTTCGCCAGTCTCTGTGGCCAGCATCTTCAGAGGACAGGAGTTAGAACTTCTGGAACACAGAGAGAATTCTAACTCCGGTCCTCTGAAATTGCCAGCCACAGAGTCTGGTGAAATGTTAGGAAGAAAAAATTCCAGAACACAGCCAAACAACCTGAATAACCTTTGATGTTGTTTAGTAGTTAAGTCGTGTCCGACTCTTTGTGACCCCATGGACCAGAGCATGCCAGGCCCTCCTGTCTTCCACTGCCTCCTGGAGTTGGGTCAAATTCATGTTGGTAGCTTCAATGACACTGTCCAACCATCTCGTCCTCTGGCGTCCCCTTCTCCTCTTGCCTTCACTCTCTCACAACATCAGAGTCTTTTCCGGGGAGTCTTCTCATGAGATTGGCAAAGTATTGGAGCCTCAGCTTTAGGATCTGCCCTTCCAGTGAGCACTTAGGGTTGATTTCCTTAAGAATGGATAGGTTTCTTCTCCTTGCAGTCCAGGGGACTATGTGGACCTTTGTCGGCAAGGTGATGTCTCTGCTTTTTAAGATGCTGTCTAGGATTGTCATCACTTTCTTCCCAAGAAGTGGGCGTCTTTTAATTTCGTGGCTGCAGTGATCATGGAGCCCAAGAAAGTAAAATCTGTCACCGCCTCCATATCTTCCCCTTCTGTTTGCCAGGAGGTGATGGGACCAGTGGCCATGATCTTAGTTTTTTTTTTATGTAGAGCTTCAGACCATTTTTTTCCACTTTCCTTTTTCATCTCCATTAAGAGGTTCTTTAATTCCTCCTCACTTTCTGCCATCAGCGTGGTATCATCTACATATCGGAGGTTGTTGATATTTCTTTCGGCAGTCTTAATTCCACCTTGGGATTCCTCCAGTCCAGCCTTTCACATGATGTATTCTGCATACATGTTAAATAAGCCGGGGGACAATATACAGCCTTGTCGTACTCCTTTCCCAATTTTGAACCAATCAATTGTTCCATATCCAGTACTAACTGTTGCTTCCTATCCCACATATAGATTTCTCAGGAGTTATATAAGGTGGTCTGGCACTCCCATTTCTTTAAGAACCTTTTATAGTTTGTTGTGGTTGGTGCGTAAAGTTGGATTACTGTGATGTTGAAAGACCTGCCTTGGATTCATATTGAAATCATTCTATCATTTTTGAGATTATATCCCATTACAGTTTTTCCCACTCTTTTGTTGAGTATGAGGGCTACTCCATTTCTTCTATGGGATTCTTGCCCACAATAGTAGATATGATAATCATCTGAGGTGAATTTGCCCATTCCTGTCCATTTTAGTTTACTAACGCCCAGGATGTTGATGTTTATTCTTGCCATCTCCTGTTTGACCACCTCCAGCTTCCCAAGGTTCATAGAGATTGCTTTCCTTTCACTTCCAGGCACATCCACAGCTGAGCGTCCTTTCAGCTTTGGCCCAACCGTATCATTAGCTCTGGCGCTACTTGTCCTTGTGCTCCTCTCTTCCTCAGTAGCATGTTGGTCGCCTTCTGACCTGAGGGGCTCATCTTCCAGCATCAATATCTTTCAGCCTTTTGTTTCTGTCCATGGAATCTTCTTGGCACTGATTCAAATGGACCTACTCTAGTTGTAAGTTACTTTAGTATAGTAAGTCACAATTTGAGTAGGCCTATTTGAATCAATTGAATGTATTGAGTTGACTCACCAAATCCCCACTGATACAGTGGCCCTGCTCGTGCAGTTTATTATGCTACAGGATTCCAGATTCTGTTAATTTTAACTGGCCCAGGCATGGGAAGTCTGCATGTCCCATTGTCTCCCAAAGCTTGTGCTGGGAATTGATTCATAAATCTGTGCAGCTTTGTACCTGTATATCATCACAGTATAAAAGGCTATCTTTATTAAATGGATTGTTATTAAGAATTCTATGGCTAGTTTCTAATAATTATATTTCTCAGCTACTCTGTTTCTAAACCATGGGCAGGATTCAGTTGGATACTTAATTGAAGTGCACTGCTTCCATCAGAATGTGCACCCCTCTTTCTCTTGAATTAGCCTGTACACCTTCTGGAGCAAGTTTTTTGGGGTGCACAGGAGCTGCAGGAGGGGAAAGGACCTGCTAGTTCTGGAGGAAATAGTGTATTGCAACTTAGGTATCCTGTCGGATCCTGACCCATGTTTTAAAATCGCACTTAACTGATGTGAGCAATGTTATTGTCTTTTTATAGAGTGCACAGGTAACTGATGAAGCACTGGAAGCTTTATCTGGAAGTCTAGGAACAAGACAGCTTGATCCTGAGGAAAAAAAGCCTGCTGTGGATAAAATGAAGGTGATAAAAATGGCCCTGTAGGCTTAGTTGACATCTTCTTTGCTAGCTGTGGCGCTCAGGCCTCAGTACCTTTTAGAGGTACCCTAATCGTTTAGCAGACCATAATTGTCCAATGGTTCCTCTTAGAAGTACCATCATTTATAAAGATGGCCATTACCAACATCCCCTTTAATTTTCAGCCCTGCTGAAAATTATACATATGCGCGTGACTCGGCCCCCTCCGCGCGGAGTTTCATTGTGACCGGAACAAAAGGGGCCGGAAATTATCTCTGCAGGTGTATGGAGGAGAAAACCTGCTGGGGGGCGGGCGGGGAGAGAGTTGCGCATGCTCACACAGTTGTGCACCTTAGAGGCAACCTTGGCCATTATGCATAGAAGACTAATATATGATGCACACCTGGTCTCAGTATTGTGATTTCTTCATCTCCACAACATGGTGGATGGAAGTTTGGTACAGCGGTGTCGTGTACTTAGCAGATCAGTTTACTGATGAGCCTGGATGCTGGGCTCTGGGATTCTTCCCTTGGCACACGTGAGGATATCTCAGATAGAGGGGAGAAAATATTGCTGTGATATCCATTGTTGTGTCCGGAAATTGAATGGAATGTTTCCCTTCACACACTTCAGTGATAAACACAGACACAGGAGGGGCTTTCTAGTTGACGCCAGATTTCTTAATATTTTGTTAACATAATAGAGTAACTGAGCAATTCCAGCAGGCCATGTTTTAATTCCCTAAGAGGGACTTTAATGAAGAAAGGAAAAGATTTAGTAACACCTGTGTTATGTGTCGTGTGGAATTTTTTAAAGTGCATGGAGTGATAAAGACACAAATCATGCTTTTAAAAAGCGTTGCCATTTCTTTTCCTCCTCCAGGAAAAGGCGAAACAAGAAACACGTGAAAAACTGGGAGAAGATGAAGAAACGATCCCGCCTGAGTACAGATTAATCGAAGCAAAGGTAATTGCTTCTCCATTGTTTTCATAGAGCTTTGTTATAATGTCTCTATTTTTCCCAGTAACTCTCTTGAGAGCTGTGGCTTTTGAAGAGTATCGGATGCTTACTCAGCACTTCACTGTATGCAGTTGCGAATAAGATACACTGGGGTTGTAATTGTGTGTCCAGAAAACATTATTTTAAGCATATTAATCACTTATTCGAACCAGTGTCTGGTCTGCAGTTTTCTTCTGTTTGAGCTACATATTTGCTGACAACCTATGCACACATTCCAGTGTCCTTTAGTTAAGCCCCTGTTTTATGCAAATCCATTTTATAAATAGTCCTAGCTACTGATGTGTGTTATATGTCATCAGGTCGCTTCTGACTTACAGTGACCCAAACAGGGTTTCACAACACATGAGATATTCATGAGTTTCTAAGGCTGAGCTGGGAATTTAACCCAGGTCTCATGTCTCCTAGTCAAACATGTGATCCGTTACACAAAACTGGTTCTCATAGCTACTAATACCCAGTCAAAAAGAAAGCCATATCACCCTACTAAGGATCTACTCGCTGTATCCTTACACCGTAGACCGGTCTATTAGATATGTGCCATAACTCAGTGAAGAAACATACACCTTGTAAGCAGGAAGTCTGCAGTTTATTCCTTAGCATCACCAGATTCTGTATTTTAAAACTTCCTTTGTTTGGGGTACACAGTCTGTGCCTTGAGAATAAGACTGTTAAAAGCTGGTGGTTGTTAGTTTTTATATTTTGGGGGTTTTTTAAAAAATTTCCCCAGACCAGATTACAAATAGATGAAAATAACAGTGAAATCAGAATAAGCCCCTTTTTAAAAAGATAGTCTAAAAGCAATGGCTATTAATTAAAAATTCACCATCACTGCTGCCTGGAGCACTTAGGCAGCTGCCTCACTTGAAACCAATCAAAACAGAAGTCACTTGCATTTTTTTTCCATGGGTACTTAGAATTGCATCTTCACCCTTTGAGGAAAAAGAGGAAAATAATGGGGATGGGGAAAGGTGGCTGCAAAAGCTTCTTAGCAAGTGATACCCGACTGCTCTGATAGCACACAAAGCAGACCTTGCATTCACAAATGTAAGTAATGTGAGTAGAGACTGAGCATGCTTTCTCCAACTCAGTGCCCGCTAGGTGTGTTGAACTGCAGCTCCCAGCCCTGATGGAAAATGAGTTCCATGCTTATGGAGGGCATTGGGTTGGGGGAAGGCTGATTAAAAAGAATGGCCAGGACATGGATCTGAACCCATAGAGGAATTTAATATTCTGACTTTAATAAAGATGTTCAGTATCCTGAAAACATCTTGGTTGCTGGTGCTGATGATCTAGCACAGAGTGAATGTATTTTTACCTCCTCATATCCCTGAGGAGGTGGGTACTTGCATTTTATAATAGCCCGAGCCTCTAGGCTGTCTTCAAGGGCAGCATGCTATGCCATGCACAACATCAGTCAAGCTGGGAGGTTATAAATAGGGGTATTGTCTTTTATGTTCCTGAACATCATCTCACAGAATTTTCTGAGAATTCCCCAGGCCTAATTCTGAGTGTTTTAACCCACAAATACAAATGGGAGACCCCTAGAAAAGAATTTATCTCCGGTGCTTCATCGGCTTCTTTGGTCTTTCCTTCCTCTTCTTAATTTCCATTTCTTAGGATTCCTCATTCTTGTTAAGAATTTTCGGGCTTGGGGTCCAAAAACAGACAAGAGCACACCCCTAGTTGTAAAAGTTTGAATGAGTTGAGCAAGATTCCTTCTGTCTAGGGACAGGAAAAACCTGCTGAGCTCACCCAGGTGTGTAAAAGCACTCCTGACAACTTCAGGCACCTGCTTTATAAAAGTGCCTTGTCAGGTGGAAGAAGCCTTCAGGCCCTTTACCTGTCCAGGCTGACTGTCACAAATTTCCACAAATTTTGTGCAACATGTATAGGGAATGTATAGTATACTGTATGGAGCCCACACCGTCTGTACACCACAACAGTTGTTTGACCAGTGACACCTTATCTTTGCAGGATAAAGATGGGAAGCCGCTTTTGCCCGTACCTGAAGAAAAGCCAAAGGTTGGTAAATAAATAGATCCATATCCTTTATTCAGTTTCAAAAATGTTTATACCCTACCTTTCTCCCCAAAAGGTGTATCAGAGTGGGTTACGTTAAAGTGGAATGGACATACTGTTAAAAGACAAAAGTTCAAATATGGAAACCCTATTAAAGAAAAAAAAAGTTGAAGGCACATTAAGAAAGAAGAATGGGGGGAAAAACCCTAAAGACAAAACACAACCACTCAGTAAAAAGTTGCTTCCTCAGAAACTGGTCGAAAGCCACAAACCAAATAAAAGCCAGTCTGAATACAGTAGTTAGGTTCTTTGCCTAGCAATGGAAAGACAAAGGAGAGGAGGCTGTCCTGGGGTCTTTTTTTGCAGGGAATCCCAGAGCCTGGAGGTGGCCACCGAGAAAGCCCTTTTGTGCATCCCCTCTAAACCTGCCTTTAAGGGTGACAGGACCAACCAGGAGGGCATGCCAAGAGGCTCTCAACCCCCAGGCAGGCTTGTGTGCTTCTAAAGACTGCTGGGCCCCCAATTGTTTCCTGATTCTAACACTAAACCAAAATAACCAAATACTGTGTTTGGTTTCCAATAATTTCTTTAAGAACTCCTCTCACCAAAAATGTGTATTTTTTTTATTTGTAGCCCTTGAGTGAAAGTGAACTTCTTGATGCTTTGTCAGAAGGATTTTCTTCACCAGCACCGACCTCAGAGGTTCCCACTTCTGCTGAACTTCAAGTAAGAGGGAGAGAGAGATTGAAGGAGGAGTTGTGCTCAGCCTTCCCTAACATGTCCTCCCATAAGGCTTCTGGCCTTAGTCTGACATGTTTGTGCATCTGCTGACTTTATTGCAGAAATCTCCAGGTACTCGCAAGCCTGCTGTCACCCCCACTGAAGAAACCATCTCTTCCGTCTCAGCTTCTGCAGTACATTCGTCTGCTCCTCAACCAGCAGCTACCCCAGTAAGCAGGACAATATTTTCTAATCAGTGTATTTGCTGTAACAAAAAGGTGTGATTCCTTCAAAAAGTTTCTTAGACTGCTTGCATAAGGATTATTGACTATGACTATGCTTGGTCTACTCTGGGGATGGCTGGTTCACTCCTTTTCCCCATGGCCACACGGTAGAAGTGCCGTTGGGGACTATCCCATCCTTGATGAGTGCGGTGTTGTTTCCTGATACAACACCACTCGATCCTTGCATGTGGATGGAAGGATCACACCAAATGGCATTTACCACCTCTTAAGGCATCGAACTTTAAGAAACTGTATTTAGCCTATTCCAATTTGGCCATTTAGTCACACCCTTGCTTTTTTCAGCTAAGAATAGGTGGACCTAGAAGGATGCTCTCATGCAACTTCTTAATTGCCTTTTACTAATGCTGACCTATGCATTTAGGCAAAAAAAAAGGGGGGGGAGTTTAACATATAGCTCTCTGTTCATCAACTCCTATGGTTATCATTGTGCTGGACATTAAAGTCCTCTGCTTGCATTCGGTGAAGAACTAACAAGTACCCTCATGTTTTTCCACCCCAAATGGTCTGGTTACACATTCTTAAACTTTCAAAACCTTATGATTCCCTTGAGGTTTCCTTGGAATGGATGCTTGTATTTTGGCATTTTCTATTGGAGACAGTGTAGGACCTATTTTGTTTTTATTCTTTTCTCAAATACGTTAGGATCAGAAAGAGCGTGACGATGCTGCAGATCTTCTTGCAGATTCACTGGGACAAAGAAAACCTGATCCAGATGAAAACAAACCGGCTGTCGATAAAATAAAGGTGAGAGACCAGATCTTTCTCCGCTGCTGCTTTGTCAGGGTGGTCAGCACAGTATTTGTCTCTCAAAACTGCAGGAAAAACTGCATTGGTGCCTTTATTTTTTTGGATCAGTCTGCAGAGAGGCTTTTCATAACCCTCCTCTTGGGAGTTGCTGTTCATTATCCCTGTTTTAGGGCAAGTGTACTGAAGACATGCAGTTAAATATCATCATAACTAAATATGTGAACTAGACTCCCCAGAAAAGGAGTCAAACAAATAGGGCACACCCTTTTGGGCCTGCGCAGTCTTAAGTAGACTGACTGCTGGGCAGATGAGCCTGCCTGCCCTGCTGGCTACCTGTTGTGCTCTTCAGCTTCCCCAAGTCAGGGAATCAGTCAGTTGTGACAGACGGCCAGCTGCAAGGAAAGAACTGCTGCTCTGTTGCCTTTACACACAGGGCTTTTCCCAGCAGGATTTTGGCCACAACTTCTCTTCTTTTCTTTGAAATGTTTGGTGTTATAGGAGAAAGCTAAATCTGAACATAGAGACAAACTTGGAGAGAGAGATGATACCATCCCACCTGATTATAGGCATCTCCTAGACTCTGATGAGAAGGTATGCAAATACTTTTGGAATTCATACTAACCAGCTTTGTATTAATGGACTTGGTGGATCACATTTCCCCATCATAGGAGGAAGAGACCAACTAATCTAATTGGAGCTCATTGGTGTTTTTCAAGGACTCCTTTGTTGTACAGGATGGGTTGTCCGTTTTCAGAGGTTTGGGAGCATGCCTTCCCACCACTCAAACATTTTTGGTTCAATTTTCTTTCAAACATGAAACCCACCCACCTCTTATGCCATCTAGTGGCTGTAGGGAACACGTTTAACACCCACCCACCCATCCTGCTCCTGAGTTGTTCTAAAGGCCTTTTGGTTTTGGAAAAAGATCCTCGTCACACAAGAGTAAAGTAAAGTGGATTTGCCTCCCCATGTCCTAGAGAGGACAAGCTGACTTTTTCAAGCCTTTTAAAGCATTTTAAAGAAAAAAATAGGGAGAGGGGGAAGGCTGCTGGGGCATCACAGTTGCTCATTCCTGCTCTATAACAATGGGGGCATGTGGTCACACCAGGGAAATGTTACACACTTCTAACAATACTTTCAAAATCTTTGTTGGAATGCATTGCAGTCACGTGGCATATATATACTTGGATAAACATCCGAATGTATTTTAACGTTGCCAGTTAATTTTTTCCCATTTGAATCATAATGGCTGGCTACACCATATTGCCAGTTTATTTTCTCTCTTGTTCCCTTAACTTTAATTAAACAAACAAACAAACATCAATATGTTGGGTAGTGTTTCCTAATGGGCAGAATTTCCTCTGTTGGACCAGCGCCTCTGGAAGCAATGCATTGCACTCAGCACCTCCCACCAGTGCTGTGTCTCTTGCCAGATAGTAGGCGGAGGGATGCAATGCCTACCAATGCTGTTAGAGCTGTTGACTTAAGTTTACCAACGTATTGATGCTCTGGCTGCAGAAAAAAAAATAAAAATTATAGAAGGGCAGTGGTGTAGCAGTAATGGTAGCTGTCTTCCTTGGGGAATTTGCTTTGAAAAAGTATCGATAGGATCAGACATCCACACCATACTGGTTAGGAATATATTGAAATGCCACTGGAACAAAAAGCCAGAAGCCTTCCTGCGAGTGGGAATTGAACCACAGTTATACTGCTGGCTGGTAAAAAGAATCGCTAATGGCTGTGTGCCATGTGACCGTAAATTTATGCTGCGGTCTAACTTGGGCATAAGTAGGGAACAATGCCATCATGTGATCATGCCCTGACTCTGTTGTTTCTTTCTATGTAACTGCAAATTCGTTTTTGGCTGTCCACTTTTAAACGGCAGCTAAGCTTCTGGCATCAACATGTTAACATTTTGAGTCTCTTCAATTAGAATGCCTAATTAGGCATAAGAACGGTTATGAGTGAGGTGACTTGACTTCATAAGCAGAATTCGTATACAGCACTTGTATATTTTTAAAATAGGCTTGATTGTAAAGAAGAGTGTTTATGGGTTTACTGAGTGGTGGTTCTTTTTATTAAAGGGTAAGCCAGTAAAGACAAAGAGCAAAGATGGTGAGAAACCTAAAGAACAAAAGGTAAGAAGGAACTGCTCTTAACTGTCCAATAAGTCCAATAAGTAAATAAATAAATAAAGTGTGTGCTCTGCCTGCACATGGGTATTTCACACTAAACCCCTACAATCTGTGCAGAATATTTTTATCCCTCTTCCTTCAGCTTAAATGCTCCAGAATGAGTCGGATAAGTAGCAGACAGTGTACAGTTGTCTTTGCCTGCATGCCTACAATCTAAATAAAAGAAAAGGTGACAGGGCAGCCAATGAGGAGGGAAGAGGCACACAAAGAAACAAGAGCCCCAATTCTTGAAGTTCTTATGGCCACTTTGAATGAAAACCTGAATAGGGCTGGTTTTTTTAGCAAGCTGGATTTAGAGTCATTTTCTTTGAATTAGAAATGAGACGCTGCCTTTTTGAAAACCATCTATTTTACATGTCCATTAAAACTTAACCAGTTCCTTAAAATGTGTCTCTTTATTGTAGAAGCCAGCTGACGACTCAGCAGCTATTGATGCTCTTTCCGGAGACTTTGATAATATTGCAAAACTTCCTCCCTCACAACAGCCTTCAACAAAGGTGGGACTTATTTCCAGGATTACAGAAATAGTTGTTCTCTAGTTGAATTTACTGCTTTCTAGATTCCCCTGTATGTAGTTCACCTGGCACACATAACTGAGTCTAATATTCATGGAAAGGGCTTGCACAGAACATTTTTAAAGCTGCAACTAGATGAAACCAAGGGGAACTCACTTTTAAAATCTGCAGCAAATAGGTGTCAAGAGAACACCATTTCTGGCACCCTGGGGATATACAGTGTAGTAATAAAGTATTTTTTTTAAAAAAATCCCCAAAGAAGATCCCTTTAAATTTAGAAGTAGTCTGCAAAAGAACTGAGAGGAGAAAGAAAACACTTCTCAAGGGCAGGTTGTATTAGGAGCCCTTTTATCCGATAACTTATTTCTATATTGAGACTTTAGCTGCAATTTTCTAATAGAAAAGTGTTTGTTGTTGTTATTGTGATGATGATCCATTAGTTGAAATATTGCCAGTTTGGACTGATGAAACATTCCGATTTCCACTGGCTGTACTATATGCCTATTGTGATTAGTTTTAAGCTTCTGGCTGGACTTGACAATTCTACCTGCATTCCTTTTTTTCCCTCAAGAGGGTTTTGGATTGGCAGTTCTTGCAACATATGATATGGAAGTGAACTTCATTGCATCTCAGATCAGTTCCTTTTCTCCAGCCACAGAAGAAAGTCTCGAGTATTCCAGCACAATTGCTTCCGTCTGTATCCTTGTACTAGTTCTTAAAGTCACAACAAAACATTTATTCTGCTGCAGTAATATATCTTAGGTTCATTTCACGCTGGTCTATAAGGCTGAGAATGAAAATGTGACATCATTGATTTAGAAAGGGGATTTAGAAAGTCTTACTATATGTGTACTGCTGTTGTTTCCTCTTTATTCCATTGGTGTAAATCTTGAGTTTTATTGGTTTTCATTAATCACTTGAATGTGAATTGTGTTTGATTCCTCAAGGGAAGAGTCTTATCATTTGGCAAAAATAATGACTGCCTGTTTTTCACATTTTCTTATTCTTGGCTACCATCTTATGCCTGCATTGTTGACAGGCAAGACTTACATTTTAAAAGGTTTTCGCACAATAAAACTGTCTAAAGCATAGACGTATTTCTGCAGCTGGCTCTTGAGTAAGTAGAATCCCCAAATACCTTCAGCTTTATTGTTTATGTGTCTTTCCGACAAACTACATCATGGGTACAACCGCCCCGTCTCTGTCCATGTACATCCAGTGAAATGAATGAAGCTCACCCAAGAACACGAGCCAAGCTTCCCCATAAGGAAAATTAAATAACTGTGAACTAAAAACCAAGCTAGCAGAATCAATCTGTTCTCAATAAATATAATCTTGGGGGGGGGCTGATTGAAAAACCATTAGTATATGTCCCTTTCTTCACAGGCTTTGCTTTAAGCCTCCATAGCTACAGTGTTTGAAATGGTAGTTTTAGAAGAGGTAGCCATGTTAGTCTGTGCAAACGTATCAGTCAAAATCCAAAGAAGCAAAAGAGGACAACAGCATATTCAGATATATGGGAGAAGTGGACTTGATTCGCAAAAGCTCACATTAAAATATAATAGTTAGCCTTTAAGATGTCACATATTTTTGCCCTTTTTTGTTTTGTGTGCAGTTTCACTGGTTTATTTAATTCAGTACCACAGACTCCCTTCACTGTTTGTACATTTCTCACTTGAGTGCTACTTTCATAAAACTCTTTCAGCCTCAGTTGTTTCAATCTGAATAGATGTGAACAAAGTTGCTTCTTTCTTGGGTGTAGGATGAAAAATCAAAAGATGCTGCTACATCTAAATCGGGTAGAAAGGATGAAAAGAAATCTAAGTCTTCCAAAAAGGTAAGGAATAGTTTGTTTTTAATTAGAAACAAGCTGTTGTAGAGTAGATTAAGCCAGCTTTGACTCATGTAATATACTTCTGAAACAGCCTGTGTTTTGCCAAGTTTTTCAAAGGGCACAATCCTTGTTATGATACTTCTTTAAGCAGCTGTTGTTGGATGGAGTGACTTGAGTATTGAGAGGAAGTAATGTTTGGAATGCGAGTTCAGTCATAGTACACATTCTGCTTATAAAAAATTTCTCACAAAATGTTGTGTACCCAAAAGTAGGAGAAATATAGCAACCAAAATGTATATGGTTCCTTAGAGGAAGCCTATATTTATTTATTTATTTATTTATTGTATTTATGCCCCGCCTATCTAGTCATTTCGACCACTCTAGGTGGCTTATATGCTTATATGCATCAGCTTGCATTGTACTACCTTAAGGCCAATCTTAATTGATTTCTTGTAAATGGGAACAGCATAATTTCATGTTCCTGTGCAGTTGTATTTGCATTTAATCCCCATACAAATCATACCATCTTCCATTTGTAAATGTCATGTCAGCATGTTTCTTAGTGATCTTATCTGTGGTCAAGTGGAAAAAAATAGCAGAGATAATAGAGCTTGTGGCCCTTTGGTGCTTCTTGGCCTCTAACTCCTAGTAGTCCAGCCTGCATATCTAATGGTCTGGGATAATGGAAGTTGAGCTCGTATCTGAAGGACCCCAGTTCCCTATCACTGATTTATAAAATGGGGAAAACAACAAATACCACTGATTTATAAAATGGGGGAAACAGCAAATACTGTTTGAAGCTCCAGTTGCACCTACTGTATCTGAGGTGATGTTGAATGAAATACTGATACTTGATTTCTTGTGGCTGACAGATGCTAAGGATCTTTTGACTCAATCACTGAGTGCTGTGCACTGTATTCAGCCCAGAGTTGAAATACTAGCTAACTGAATCAGCATTATTTGTACCTTTCTGCAACAACCACAAGGTGAAGCAGAAAGCCTGTGGTGCTAGTGGGGTGGACATCCCCTATGGATCGTTCATGTTAAATCATGCTTTGATGCAGATGTTAAAACAGAGATATATATGGTGCAGTTAAAAGCAAGGAAAGGCAAATCAAAAATATGAATACTCTACCCAGAAGACACTGAGCTGCCTCCAGCAAGATTGATAGTTTCACGCTCCTCCCCAGTGAAGCTCAGGACCGCTGTTTAATATTGAAATGACTGAGGTGCTGAGGAAGGTCTGAGTCTGAGGTCACTGGAGCATGTAGAACAGATGCCTCTTGAACTAGCTGTTGTACAAATTTAGATAAAATGCCCTAAGGATGGAAAGGGGAGGGGGTGAAGCTGGAAATAAAGTTAAGGTCCTTGAGGTATGTTTTTAGTTGCAATGTGAAGCAAGACAGTGATGCCAATGTGCAATATTGGCATTCTTTTTTCTAATTATTACTTATGCTACCAGGACTGAATGTGCGTGTGTGCTGATCAGTGCTTGCACTCTTGGTTACATCAGAACTTTACCTCAGGATGTTAGCATCTTTTTCTCCCTCTTGTTTTCGGTTTCTTGTTAATATGGTGTGTCACTGCTGAAGTTCCTAATAGTTGCCTTTTGTATGTTCTCTGGGCTCTAGGTGGGCAAATATTACTTCCAGAAATAATTCTGATGGTATTAGGTAGTTCTTGCTCTGAAGTTGTAGCCATTTGTTGGAATGTTCTTTTATCCCCAAGACTCAGAAACGCACAAACATTGGCATGAACATGAACCGGTTAGAAATATACCCAAAAGGGAACAGGGCGAATTGGATCTTGATCTATGTTGTTCTTACCTGGGCAGACTGAACTGAAGGGAGCAGTGCACAGACCTGACGTTGACAATGGAGGTGTGAACTACTTTCAAGTATCAAACTATTTACATGCAGTGTTCAATCAGAATAGTGGCCATGGAGAAGTGGTTCACAAATCTGAATGGCTTCTTTCTGGTACTGCTGTTCATGCAGAAATGGGTAGGGTACTTTATCTGTTTCATCATCTCTGGTCTCCAGTATGGCCTCACCGCTTCAGAGGAGTAAACACTCGCACTGGCCTGATGAGATTACTCTGGTCAAATGCTCGACCTTTCAACAGATGCAGGAGTTAAAAACGAAACACTAGGACAGAGAATTATGAGTTTCTCATGTAGCATATAGTTTGGCCCTGTCACATGTTCCTCTCCCCATTCCCTTATTTTTGACAAACACATGTATTTCAAACTTTATTTTACTGATTCATTTTTAAAATTACTTTCTCCAGTGTTCATTGCGTTCCAAACAGTAATGTTTTTTTTTGCCCCTCTAAGGCAAAGGAGCAGTCTTCTAGTGCAAAATCTGAGAAACAAAAGAAAAGTTAAATGTTACCAGGTAAGAACTGTTAAGCTATTCATGTGTGTGCGCACACATTATACAGAGATAATTCAGAATAAACTGACATATTAGAAAACTCACATTTTTAGGTCTGTTTTAATTTATTTATTTTCCCAGTTCATGTCATTCCCGAGATTTAATTTTGAAATTGTTTTAAACTAATATATGGAGTCTCACATTTTGACCAGCCTTTCTTAATTTTTATGGTAAACTGGACACTTTTCTGCATGATGTTTTCCTTTAATATGTCTTTACCTTGAAGATGCATGTTCTCAAGTTCTGCTTAATCCAGAACTAAATTTGATGATATTGTGTAAAAGAAAATATAGGAAGCTAGCATGTGGTACTATAACATAATGTAAAGCTCAATACATTGGCTAAAGTCCAGTAGAGCAGTTATGCTTATGCAGCTTAACATTAGGCATGCAGGATCTGTGATCCCGCCAAGGCAGAAGTACTCTAGACTACGCCTAGAGTAGTCCATTGGACTAGATAGGCGGGATATAAATTAAATAAATAAATAAATAAATAAATAAAGCACTACTGCAAGTGCATCATGCTCCATCAGTCATGACAAGAACTGCTCAGCCAATTGCACAATCTTTATGGCCTGAGCATAACACTCGGCAAATTTATGCAAGCGTGAACTTTGTTATGCAAAGACAGACAAGACTGTGGTGATAATATATGGTTTCCTAATAGAATTGGACAGAACTGAATTCTACATAGGAAACAGGTCTCCACACAACAGTTACATATATAAATTATGGGACTCAGTTGAAGCATTGTTTGAGGCTCCATACATACAGTATATAACTTTTTTGTTACCTATAATTGTCTTCCAGAAAAAAGGAAAAGGAGGTATTATGCTCTTACAGCAGGTTTGCAATGGTGACTGGGCTAAAAATTCCCCTACCATGCCCTAGAGCAGTGGTTCCCTACCTTGGGTCCCCAGATGTTCAGACTGCAACTCCCAGCAGCCTTTACAACTAGCTATACTGACTAGAATTTCCAGGAGTTGTAGTCTGAAACAGCAGCTAAACAGACATCTACTGCTTGAGACCATTTCCTTTTCCGCGTCCCTGCTTATTTCTGCTGTAAGCTTCAACATCACAAACCAGCTAATGTGTATCTAACCCCTGTGAGCTTTGCTTGGATTTTGTGTGTGGAATTATTACCATGCTGACCTAATAAAATCTGTGGTACGAGGCAGGCATTCTTTTTCTAAGTCTATGTTGTCTTCTTTTATTTTTACTAGTGCAAAGAGTCTTCATGTTGCTGATGGGTTGCTGCACTTGAACAAAAGCTATTTTGCCGAAGCAAGATAGTCTCCTGGGTGGTTTTTGTATTGTGGTATTTGGATATTTTGGCACGCTATGCATATATTTTGCTATTTTCAAGTAAGAACTAACTTTTTTTCTAGCCTTATTTTGCTGTCTTTATTTTGTATTATTCTTCATTTCTGAGAGGGAAACAATGCTTTATATTTGTAAGACATATATTTCCTATGGATTTAATAGCAATGAAAGTCTGCAAAGTTTTGCACATTACACTTAGTGCCTGTAAATCTCAGCAGAGTTCACTGAATCTATCCTATGTAGGGGGTGATGGGCAATTTTTGGCCCTCTCTCAGCCGTTGTACTGCTATTCTGATCGGCCCCAGCCAATCAGGAAGGTTGATGGAGGTTATCCAACAACATACAAAAGTCCATACATTGCCCTACCCATTTTTAAACATTCTGGAATACACTGAATTTGGGCTATCATCTGCCTGTGTAGGCTGTTTTCCTGTGGGTATTTCTTTGAGAGAACGATTGTTGGTGAGGGAGCACCCAGCTTTCAAACTGGGAGAAGCAATCATTTTCATCCTGGAGTTCTAACACTATAGTATCAAACACAGACAGTGCCATTAGTATTTCCATTCAAAATCTTTACTCTTTCTGTCATCACTGTTTTTACATATATGCTGCATCTGCTAGCAAATTCCAGGGACAATATAATATTGCATTATAATTATAGCAAAGGATGGTGGTGCTTTGGAAGGGATGCAGTTTTGTGGTCTCTGCTTCACTCCCTTTGATGGACAGAACTGTACCCAGGGAGTCCAGTGACGGAATGTTTAACTTGCACATGTTGCACTGGTGTAGCCCCCAGCCCAAGAGCAGAAGACACAAAGCAGCTTCTTCCACATAGGTATGTAGGCAGCATAGCAAAATATGAATGGGATTTGTGAGTTAATACGATAATGCTTGCACAAATCTTGGGTGTTTCACTGTTCCCTGCATTGAGTTGAAAGGGGGATATGGCTCCAACAGCAAATTCTCATATGCTTTACAATCTGAGTAGCAACTTTTTATTGACTTGTGGAGTAAAACACAAGTTTTACTCCACAAGTCAATACTTCTTATTGACTTGTGTGGTAAAATGGCCAAGCCAGCTTTGCAAGGCACTTTAGTTTGAGACACAGGGCTACAGTCCACTTGGAACACAATCTGTATGAATCACATTGAACCGCATGATGAAACCATCTCTTTTTGCCACAGTTCTTGTTTCCTTCAAAAGGTGAAAGGGCAGGAGGTGTTCACTATGCATTGTAGCTTTAATCTTGATGATGATGAGAATTTGGATTGTCCTTGACAATTTGTAATGTTAATACTGAACTGCATTTGACAATCTGTATTGAGATTCTGTGTCACAGTAATAAAGTTTTTTGGAAATAATTACATTGTATTATTATTATTGCAGCAGCTGCTGCTACTTACATTTGTACATTTAAAAACCAAGCCCACTGTGAAAACCACTGAAATCAACAAAGAGTACGATTAAATATAACACAGGGGAAATTAAACATTTCTTTCCCCAACCAGGGTTCTGTGATGACTAAGTCAGCATCTGAGTGATGGCTGATTTTTCTGCAACTTGACCTAACATTAAAAAGGATTTTTTAGGAAGACCTACCATTATTGTCACCATGGATTCTCTGGCTAGATACCAACCTACAAGGAGAACAGCTAACGCCCAGCTCTCCTTTCCTTGTAATGACCAGGTGGAATCTCCCATCGTGTCTTCCCTGCTGGTAATGCTTTAATAGTGGCTCCTGCACTCTCCCCATCTTTCCAGCTCTCCAGACAGATCTTCCTGGCCTATTATTAGCACAGCAGTAAAGTTAATTCCTGCTCAGCCCTTTAAAACAAGGAGGCGGGCCTTCGGGATCCCACAAAATGGCCACTCTGAGCAGCAGTGACACCTCTAGTAGTGGGCCCATCCTTCAGCAGCTCAGCTAATATCCCTGTTCTCAGATGTTGAGCAGTTCCAAGTGGGACAGAGGGCAATTCCTGGCTGCAGAGTAGCTGATCCACAGCTGAAGACAGGGCCGCTCCTGCAGCACACTGAGGTTCCACAGGTCCAAGTTCTCCAGGGAAAGAGTAAGCAGAAGATGACCCAATAGCAGACACACACACACTCACTCTCTTCCCCTGTCTCCTCCTGAAGATACTGACTAACCAAGGCCCCCTTAGTGGTCTAGCCTGTATCCATGTCCCAAGAAGTTCTCCAGGGAAAGAGTAAGCAGAAGACGACCAAATAGCAGACACACACACTCTCTCTCTTCCCCTGGCTCCTCCTGAACATACTGACTAGCCAAGGCCCCCTTAGTGGTCTAGCTAGCCTGTATCCATGTCCCAAAAGGTTGAACAGTTCTGGATGCAGTAGAGGGTGATTCCTAGCTGCAGAGCAACTAATTCAGTGTTATAGATGTAAATTAATCCTTTTTTTCCATAACACATACCTTACGCATTTGGACAACAGTAAAAAAATGGATGGTAAAAAAGCTTATACATGGTTAATTAGATCTAGCATTTTTTTTTTTTTGCAATCCATCATTGAATTACATGTCTTCCAAATCCAGTATGCCATGTATAGTCATTAGATCATGACCTTATCTTTAATCACTATGATCTATATGGTATTCCACAGATATATATGAACATGTTCTGGCATTTAGAATGGAATCATGGAGTTGGAAGAGGCCCATAAGGTATCAAGTCCAAACTCCTGCTCAATGCAGGAATCCAAATCAAAGCAGATCTGACAGATGGTTGTCTAATTTTTTTCACCATTTCCCAAAGTAATTTGTTCCATTGTCATACTGGTTCCATTTCCTGTAACAGGAAGTTTTTCCTGATATTCAACTGAAATCTGGCTTCCTGTAACCTGAGCCTGATATTTATTACATGTACTATATTCTGGGATGATCAAGAACAGACCTTCCTCTCTTCTGTATGTCAGTCTTTCAAGTATTTGAAAAGTGCTCTCATATCTTTCCCCAGTCTTCTTTTCTTATGGGTAAACATGCTCAGTTCTTTCAGTCTTTCTTCATAGGCCTTGGTTTCCACTCCCCTGATCGATTCTTTTTGTCTTCTCTGAACTTGCTCAAATTTGTTGGCATCCTTCTTAAAGTGCAGTATCCAGAACTGCGCACAGTACTCAAAATGAGGCCTAACTGGTGCTGAGAGGGGAACTAGTACTTCACAGGATCTGGAGACTCTGTTCACGCAGCCTAAAATAGCATTGGCCTTTCTTGCAGCCACATCATACAAATTTTAATTTTTCAAACTGGGCTGCAATCCTATCTTTACTAAATTTTCACAGAAAAGTTACAGTCAAGTTATTATTTCACAGAACTTATTTCCCCATCTATATAAATGTTTTCCCCTATTGTACAGAACTGTGAAGTCAGCTACAAAGATTGTAAAGAACTTTGGGAAATAGCAATTTAAGAGTCATTTTACAAAAACCATGTTGATATGTAAAGGCAAGTCTGTGGCAGCAGTACTATTCTCCCTTTCTCAATAACATAAGGGCAAAATGAAATAAGACAAAAGATCAGTGGCTGAAATCTTGTTGCTTTGTCATGCATAAGGGAAAGCAAATGGCAACTTTCAGTGCCTTTTAGCTGGCAATTATAGAGTCCCTGATAGGATTCTTGAGCACATGCTCACCAAGTATCCCTGCGATAATTCCAATTGCCAGTTACAAGTGCTTGCTTTCCACATATGTAATGAAGCAACAGGATTTCATTCTGTGTGTACAAACAGGCAATTTGCTAGATTTAGGAGAACTAAGGCCCTAGTCACATAAGGCAGGGAGGGGCCCCAAACTCCTGGTCTGCGGCCTGGTGCTGGTCCGTGGCCTGGGATGGACCAGGCTGCAGAGACAGATCTTCCACCCACCCCACTGGCACGCACTCCAGTCCCCACACAGCCTTCACACCCCCACCCCTATGTGAGTGCGCACAAGTGTCTCCAAGCGCCTTCACGCATGCGCAGGGGAATGCCCCACGTTCCCCAAACGGTCCGTGGATTTGAAAAGGCTGGGGACCACTGACATAGGGGGATAACTAGAGAACAATCTCTAGTTATCCCCCCTTTAGATCCTTGCTACCCCGCCCCCCCCGGTCAACTGATGCACTGTCAAGATTGAAGTATTTTTCTGACCAGTGGTGTAACTCCAATTTATTTTCCACTCCCTATGAGGGTTGTGTTATTTTCTACATCTGTTATATCGGTGCATTCCTTACCAGAACTACCCGTGTGCATGATCTGTCCTGCTTCTTTTCAGAATTGAAGCCAGGAAGATGGCCACCGTTATTGCAGTATGAATATTAGTATTATTTTTCGCTGCTGGTACATCGAGGTAAAAGTATGCCACAGAGCAATTTGAGCCATTGCTGCATTTCAACATGCTGTTTTTTTGCCAGACATTGTGAGGAGACACTCATGGGAGGGATTGCAGGGGAGGAAAGGAAACGGCAGATTCAGGTGAAAGGCAGAGGAGATGGTGGGGAAAGTAGACGGACCGATGCGATTTTGCAGGAGCAGCCAACGCAACAGGGGGAAAGCCCTTCCTGATTCAACGATGTATCAATAAATATCTATTTTTAAAAAATGTATATCATTCAAGAGGCTGAATTGCCCCTTGAAGCAAGAGACAAAAATAAACCGGTACCATGATGTAGCCAGCCATAATGATCCAAACAGGAGGAAATAATTACCGCTGAAAGTTCTTGGGATTTGCCCCAGTATATATACCAGGTGACTGAGTATACCAGTATAACAGAGGTATGGAAAATATCGGAAGAACTAGAGAACATTTCTCTTGTGTGAGTAGGGCCTAAAATAAGAATACTGGCAACAGCATTTGTGCCACAGAGGCATATGCCTTTGAATTATTCTTGTGTGTTTCCCTGTAAAAACATTATAGGCTCCATCTTTCCTGAGCTCTGTACATGTCTTGGAGTCCTCAGCTGGTTGAATCCATGTGTCTAATGTGTTCTAATTAACTACTGAGGTGTATGTCATCCTACATCTTTATTTTGATGTAAACTGTTTCAATCTTGTGGTCATGGGAAGGACACTGAAATTTTCATTTCTGTTGTCTATTAACGACAGTGGATATTAACCACATTTCTAAGTTTAGACATAACCCTTTCTGATTTACTGGAGCAAGCTAGCTACATAAAGCAAGGTTTAAAATTGGATTGTATTAGACCATATTGAGGAAACACAGGATGTGTAAGTCTGTGTATAATATTAAACAGAAAATAGCAAAAGAAAAAGCTGCCAGTTTTTTCATGGCCTTGAGTACAAGACTGTCTTGACCTACTTCTTTAGCATCAAGCTACCATCTATTATTTATTTATTTATTTGTAAAGCTAATTACTGATAACTGCCAGTTTTTTCATGGCCTTGAGTACAAGACTGTCTTGACCTACTTCTTTAGCAACAAGCTATTATCTATTATTATGTCCAAGTAAGACGTAGATTTCATTTTCAAAATTTGTGTTAGTTCAAAGCTAATTACTGATAACTGCTATTTAGTTTTACCACAGGTATCTGCAAAGTTATTTTAAAATAATCATTACTGTTTATACAAGCATGAATGCAGAAATGGGATAAGAAAATAAGCTCTCTCTCTAGCCTGGCACTTGCAAAATGACTGATGAAAGCTTTATACACATATATGCTTCATACTGATTCAAAAATACATTTCATATGTTCCAAGTTGTGGCATACGAACATGCTTACATATTCACACTAATGTGAATATGTAGGCAACCCTATTTCAGAATGTTATATCAACTTAAGCTGTAGGTAGTATTTCTCATGCCAGAGAACTTACCATTTTTAATTCTGTAATCCATGCACAATTTCATACTTTGCTATTGGCCTGTAACCACTTTTTGATTTTTTCAAGATTCTCATCCATCCACCGGATATTATCTTTAATGGTTTCTATGGCTTGTTGGACAGCACGGAGCTCTGAACTTTTTTTGTCAAGAGAGTTGAAATAGTCTTTTACCTGTTAAGTTAAAACACTGCAGTTCATTCTTGCATTACTTCTCTATTATTTCCAACTAGATCTGAATAAACGTATATTGTTGCAGAAGACTTCTTGCAGTTACAAGAGCAACTTGTGCTTTGTTGCAAGAAATTCTCACCCTTGGCAACATAAACAAGTTATAGCTTCAGTCCAGGAGGAATATCTGCTGATGCAAGTGGGGCAATTTTCACTTCCCATCACAATCCCAAAATCTGCTCCAGAGAGCTAGAATTTTTTCAGAAGCCAGTTTTTGGATGATGCTGACAGTTGAAAGGAATGTGGAAGGGGAGACAGAGACTGGGTTTAGGCAATTTGTTTATGGCCTCACTTTTATATGAATTAAAAGTGGTTCCAAAGGCGTTTTAAAGCTTTTGCCTCAGAACTGTAAAAACATATTAATAAACATAAAATCAAAATCCAATCATATGCTGTCAAGTCATTTCTCACTTATGGCAACCGCTTTCAAGGTTTTCCACATACAGAATACTCAAATAGTTCACCGTTCCCTTCTGGGGGTGCAATGGGACTGTGCAGCTTGCTCAAGGCGGCACAGGCTGGCTCAACTCACAGAGGGCTATTGAACTCACAACCTCTGGCTCCAAAGCCAGACACCTAAACCACAGAGCTATCCGGCCAGCGTGTAAACATAAGGAGAACATAAAATATTATTTATCATTCATATGAAGTATCACAAATGACTAACTCACTTGCCTGGTTGGATTCCAAAAACCTTTAAGAGAATACAACTGTTGCTTTCCTTTTACCTCATCCAATTTGAGGATCATCATTGCATTAGCCTGTGAGGCTGGGAGTAACCTCAAGGATACTCTACAGCAGAGGTCCCCAACCCCCGGTCCACAGCCTGATGCTGGTCCGTGGCCTGAGCTGGACTGGACCACCAAGACAGACCTCCCACCCCACCTCCCGCACACACAGCCCGTTTGCACCTGCGGCGCACGCTCCAGCACACGTGTGCGAGCGCCGTGCCACCGTTTGCGCATGAGCGCGGGGGGGGTGCCCCGCCTTCCCCAGCCAGTCTGTGGACTGAAAAACGTTGCCCCAGGCGGCACGTAGAGTGGTCTTAACCGACTAGATAGGCGGGATATAAATAAAATAAATAAATAAATTGGGGACCACTGCTCTACAAAGTGTACTGTCCGTCTCTCCCATCAGAAAGACAGAGGAGACAGAAGCTATTGAAAAAGGGTTAAAGCAATTGAAAATAAAGACAGAAACACCAGAGGGTGCCAATCGGGCGGGAAAAGAGGAGGATAAAAAGGAGAGTGGGAGGAAGGAATTGGGAGGTTCAGAGGGGAAGGAGAAGGAAGCTTGTTGGGCACAAGAGGAGACAATAAAACCTAAAGAAGAGTTAGTGGAGCTAGTTCAAGAAGATCTCTGGACAGGGGAATGGGTAGAGTTTAAAGTACCTAAAGAGTATGCAGAAAGAGTGAGTGGAAGAAACAAGTATATAGAAAACCGCCCTATTGGGGGGAGACAGAAGAAAGGAAACAATGGAGGGAATATAAAGCTTGGCAACAAAGAGAGGAACAAAGGAGGGAGCAGAGATGTACAGAGAACCCTGGGAGATCCCATGGGACCAGCCCTTTCCGAGCACAAGTGAGGCAGAACAAGCGCAAGAAGGTTTGGGAGCCATAGGTGGGCTGGTCTTACCACCCTCAGCCATGATGTTAGTGGACAATACACCTAATAGATCGGGCACCATACTGAAGTGGAACCCCGGAGTTGCAAATTCTTCCCCTTTATCTTTCCAAGAGGGTTCACCATGTTTTACTAAAGTTAAGAGTTCTGATTTGTTGAAACCAGAAACAAAATATGAACATAAACGCAATGGAGGGAATATAAAGCTTGGCAACAAAGAGAGGAACAAAGGAGGGAGCAGAGTTGTACAGAGAACCCTGGGAGATCCCATGGGACCAGCCCTTTCCGAGCACAAGTGAGGCAGAACAAGCGCAAGAAGGTTTGGGAGCCATAGGTGGGCTGGTCTTACCACCCTCAGCCATGATGTTAGTGGACAATACACCTAATAGATCGGGCACCATACTGAAGTGGAACCCCGGAGTTGCAAATTCTTCCCCTTTATCTTTCCAAGAGGGTTCACCATGTTTTACTAAAGTTAAGACTTCTGATTTGTTGAAACCAGAAACAGAAAATATGAACATAAATGAAGCAGACAACTTGTTAGATAATAAATCTGTTTTATTGGAAGACTTTGGCGTACTGCCTACTTCTTTAAAGACAGACACCACTAAGGAGGTAAGAGACGCTGGACAAGATCACATAGCCTCATTGTAGGTTTTGCTCCCTTTCACCATACTAATAGCTTTACACTCTTTCAAAACTCTAGCCCTGCTTCAGCAATAAGAATCCATGCTGTTTATGGCCACAGATTTTAAAATCAATTTTAATGCTGAACTTAGCTTCTGGTACTGCTGTTACTTTATAGCCAGTGTGATTTAGTGGATAAAGTGACAGTCCAAGACCCAGCAGGCCTGGGTTCAAATCCCCACTCAGCTATGGAAACTCACTGGAACTGGTATAGCCACTCCTTAAATACCTTTCTTATCTTGAAAGCCCTATGAGGATTGCGATGAGTTGGTTCTGACTTGATGACACATAATAATAAACTGCTGTTATTTTATGCTAGGTAAACAAATTATAACATAACTGCAGTTGAACAGAGTGTAAACTTTCAGTAACTGTCCAATGATTTGAGCCTACAGAACTGGTTTGACTTCATTTAAAATCAAATCATGCAATCTCACTGACTAATGTAATAGAGAGATGCTTACCTCCGCAAGCTGTGCCTTTGTAGAATACTTATTTGTTACACCAGCAACCATGTGTGCAATGGAATGTGAACCAAGTTCAAACCTACACAAATAGTAATAATGGTAAACGGAGCAAATATTTATGTGGTTTAATGAAAAATCAATATGAATAGAGGTACTTAAAGATTAAGAACAGTCACCTACTTTTTTACAAGTTTCTCCCAGTTCTCCTTCAAAAATTTCCATGCTAACTTGTAACCAACAGGATTCCTTCCAACGCTCGTGACAATATACGGAAGATTCTGAGTTTTTATTATGTCACCCTGCAAGCCCTGATCCATTAACCTTAAAAACACAAGATAAAACAATGAAATATAACTGTATATTACCATAATATTAGGCGGGATCACTGTATAAATTACATATGGTGCAATCCTATGTACACTACTTGAAAGTAATGTGTTATTACTTTCACAGTTCACTGGGAGTGAGGATCATAGCATTGTAATCTTGAACTAGTAGAGCATTTCACTTTTGCCCAATTCATTGCAATTGCCTTTGAAAATACAAAACATTAGCACATGTCCCTTAGCCAGGATGACTTATCTTTGTTATAAAACAGATGTGGCTTTAGAAATGGTCATGTGGGTGTAGGGCACGCAACAATAAACAATACAGTACAGTATTACCTAGCTTCCCAGTATAAGAACAAAACTTGTGGTCTTCTGCTACATCAATTGCATTTGGCAAAGAGGAATATGCTTTAAATTATTCAACAGACTGTGCACTATTATTATTATTAACCTACTGCTGGTCTGAACTTCAGCTTCAATCCCATCCCTAAAAATCATTTCTCAGGAACGACAACACCCATGACTATTATGTTTATGAAATTCCAAACTACAGAACAGCAAAGTTCTAGAGACTACACCTGTAGAACGAAAAAAAGTATTCAGCACACACAAGTCATTATGTTGCACTAGTTCTTCTCATTTTAGATGGGGAATTCTAATAATTGTAGTGTTTCTGTGTCATAATGGTTAAAACACAACACATGCAACACATGTCATTAAAGGTTCTGCATTTTCCTTTAGCCAGATAACTAACTTGTAGCCTTAGATTTTAAATACTCTTTAATCTGTGCCTTAAACTACCCATCCTACTTGAAGAATACTCACCACTGAAGCTTTTCCACATTTTGGCTCAGGCTGAGAACAGCTTCAATTACATTTTTTTCAGTACTGAACTCAGGTAGCTGATATTTGTTAAAAAGGAAGTCCCAGCCTTCATCTGTTTGTGCTCCAACAGCATATACTGCAAATTTAACATCATTTGGCAATCTGCAGCAAAATGAGCCTCCAATTACATTCTGACATGCCATTTCAGCTTTCTAAAATTATGCACCTGACTGTAAACTACTGCTTGTACAGCAGATAATCACTGAACATCAAACTGGATGAAATACTTAGCATTTTTTAAAGAGATGCTCATTTTAGATGACAAAACATATCTGGCAGTCAATTTCGTGATTTTTGCCACCTATAGTTCCTGCATTCAGCATCCTTTGTTTTGTGCCTGGGCACTGGCTGTGACCACACTCTGGCTTGATTCACAACAGCCTATTTATGCTTCTGTTCAGATTAGGGGACTGTGCGTTGTTTTGGTGCCAGTGTCCACACTAGCCCCTCATTGTGATGTGGTTTGATCCATGCCACAGCCCATAGCCCCGCTTCTTCTGATCTCACCCTCTGCTGGTATCTGGCTCTCCTTTTATAGTTCACTGTAAACCCAGTGGGCAGTTTAAAGTGTTGCAAAGCACTAGGGGAAAGTGACAGTTTTCCAAAGCTCTCCATAATTTACAAACACACACACATTGTGGAAACATAATAGTCTGCTATATTTCACTGGAGTTGTTTCTATTTCATACTGATTTTTCTTTTTTCTTTTGTCCATGGTATCTGGCTCTCCTTTTATAGTTCACTGTAAACCCAGTGGGCAGTTTAAAGTGTTGCAAAGCACTAGGGGAAAGTGACAGTTTTCCAAAGCTCTCCATAATTTACAAACACACACACATTGTGGAAACATAATAGTCTGCTATATTTCACTGGAGTTGTTTCTATTTCATATTGATTTTTCTTTTTTCTTTTGTCCATTCAGAAGAGATCTAACACTAATTTAGTATATCAGTGTAGCAATAAGGTGATCTAGCGCTAAACTTGGTTGATTGTTTAAAAAAAAAACTTTGAGGCAACTAAGGAGAAATGTTGCAGAGGTGGATGTTCCTGCTGTCCAAACATCGCACCCAGCTTAGTACAAGTCACCAGAATACCTCTCCTAGTCATGCCTCCAATCCTTTTGGAGAATGAAACAACTGATCACACGGGGAAAAGTCTGTTTGAATTGTTCTGGCTTGAAAAAAGTAGAGGCCGCCAGTGGCAAAGAAAAAAAAAACACCTCTGCATCAGGGCCGAACTGACTCCAATTGCATCACGAGATCAGGGTTTTTAAAGTGAATTCATTTTACATCTGCAGCAAACCCCACAGTAATTGACCATATAGTTGCAGCCACTGAGAAATAAACATGGGCTTTACTTATACATAGAGAATCTGATTACATACTGACAAACCACAGCATGTACCTCTTAGAGGATCTTATGGGAGGTAAAATGGATTACTCTTAATTACAGTGGACCCTTGACTTACAGACGGCTTGACTTACAGACTTTTTGACTTGAGAACCACCTTCCAATACAGATTAAGTTCTCAAGTCAAGACCCCACTGTACTATGCATTTCCATTATGGTCTAGTTTGAAAGGGAGAAGGGGAATTCAGAGGTATATTCAACTCTTCCCTCTTTTCATTAATACATGGCAGGCAGAAGTACAGCTTCTAAGGTACTAATACTGCATGCTTTACCCTGTGAAGATTCAAGATACTATATACTGAGATGCAGAAAATGAAACACCTACTTTAGAGTCCCATTGGAGTTTTTCCATTTCATGAAATATTCTTTTGCTTTGTCCACACATGGTTGGTACTTGCGTACACAGGCAAATACAAGCAGGGAGCTCCGAAGAACTCGCTCAGACATTGTGCCTTCATCATCCCAAGACTGTGCATCAATTATGGTTTTGAACAGATTAGCAATGTATCCCTGGAATACAATCAAAACAAACAAATCAGGAACACATATTTAAGAGTCACGGTAAATGTGTCCAGTCAATGATTATAACTAGAGCTAGTGTTCTGTTAAATCCATCAAAATCACGTTGCTTTTGTATGTCTTCCAAAACATATGAACAGAAATTAGTTCTTATGGGGAAAATATACTTTCATGGCTCAGGTAAGTAATTGTCTTAATAGTCAAACTGAAATATCCAAAATGGCTGACCATATTTAACCATATACTGGTTTGTCCAGAGACAAACCTGCATGCTCATACACAACCTATTGATTCAATTAATTTGATACAGTACTTACAAAACACAAGCCCAGCATCGCTATCATGGTACTTTATAGGAAACTGGCTCCATAGCTCAGTCAATTGGAGCACTTGGCTGTGGAGCCAGTAATCGGCAGTTCAGTTTCCCACTGTGTCTCAAGGGAGGAGCCATCCTATGTGGTGGCCTCAGTCCAGCTGCATAGTTCCAGAGCACCACCAGAAGGGATGACTGATAGAAGAGTCTGCTTCTTTTTAGTTCTTTCGCCCCAACGGTTAGGGAAAGGGATGCGGCGGTAGCCCAGCACTAGGAGGCTGAGCCTGGCCGGGGTGCTACCTCCAGCTGCTCACCTCCCGATAGGCTCCAATGAGGCTCTCTGTACCTTTCGCGGGTCCGGTAGCATCCCCAGCACATCTTTACCTTCCAGCACCGCAGTTGCCTGCCCGGCTGTGCTACTGGTCCAGATGCGCTGGAATTTGTTGCCACTACCCAATAAAACAGTTTCCAGTACCTTTGAATCCGCACTACCCGTCCCGTGTGACTAAATGCTACCACCTTCGCTAAGCCAACGCTCCTAGTCCAGTGTGGGATAGGCGAAAAATCCCCGCCTCCGTTGGCCAATTGGGTGACGGGTCAAAAATTCCTATCCGGCCCCCAATAGGGCGACCAGCTAATCTCACACTAGAAAATAGGGCAGGCGGGTGGGTTGCCAGTTCAGCAATGGCTGCTGGAGGACAAAGGGAGAACCCCCTTTAAATGCCCTCTGACCTGCCCACGCCCCTTGGCCGTCCTTGCATTCGGCCACCCGACGTCATGCGTTAATCCAGGTAAGTTGGCAAAGCCCGGCCTCGATGACTGGATCCCTCCGGTCCCTCTATTGGCATGACCATTCTTTTTCCGGATTCCATCTTGCATGGACTTGCTCTGTTTATTTTTATTTTATTGTTTGTTTGATTTTTTGGGGGACGGACGGAACGGATTAATCGTGTTCCCATCACTTTGATTTACGACCATTTCGACTTACATTCCATCTTCTGGAACGGATTATGGTCCTAAGTCGAGGCACTACTGTATAATATGACACGAACAATTTGATATATGTCCAATGAACATGACGAGTGACAATGGAAATATGTTTTCATTTGTAAATAAATAAATAAATAAATAAAAAACCCTGAGAAGGGTAACCAATTCACCATAACTTGGAATTGGCTTGATAGCACATAACTACATGCCAAATGAATTATTATTTTACTGTATACTAGAAAGGGCAAGTCTGATCTCTCAAATCATGGGGAAAAGTTATTATATAAAATGAAATAAATGGAACGTTTTGAATCTTTTTGGGCTCCAATCATGATTTCCTTATTCTGCCTTTCAGAACCAAAGCAGGCTGAGGAGCTATCCCAACATACACTAATCTTTGTTTGCTCCAATGGGGAGACTAATTGTACAAAAAAACACCAGATCCCCTTCTTGAGAGAGGCAGCCTGCACACCTACATAACACATTTAACAACGTGATGTATACATTTATAGGGCGTCTTATACGTGGAAAAATACGGTAATTATTCCTGATTATATGCAGAAAAATACGGTAATTATTCAGGCTACACATTGCACACACCACCAACCCAGCAAGCTGGGTATTCAATTTACTGACCTTGGAAGAAGGGAAGGCTGAGTCAACCTTAAGCCGGCTACCTGGGATTGAACCCCAGGTTGTGAGCAGTTTTGCCTGTAGTACAGCAGTTTAACCAGGTGACATAAATGTATAAACATTTATTCAAAAGGAGCTAATATTAGGGGCTTGGCTCAGTGGGCTTCTAAGGGAGCCAAGTGGGTGAGGAGCTGCATAGTGCCTTAGAAGAATCATAGCCTATGCTACAATCTTCTAAAGAACTTCATCTAAGAAAAACTCCATAGAATTCCATCTATGGGAACTCACTTTCTAATTGCAAAGCTGATGTGGCATCCATTTCTGCCCTTAAGATTCTGACCTGATGTCTGAGTTGGCAGCGTAATTCTCCTCTCACAACATTTTGTGGGTATTCCTGATCTCCTCTTCCAGTAGTCTCCTCCCATTAAAATACTCTATGTGCTCCTACCTCTGTTTATTAAATAATGCCATTCTCCAACATGGAGTCAGCACACAATAAAAACAACTAAGCTACATTTTTCAGCTTATGGAAAGAAAACTGCTCATGTGAGTTGATGGATTACAAGTACCATTAGTTATTACTTGGCCCTCAGTCATCCCCCAATTTACCTTTAACTGATGTTCAGTCTCATTCATGTCCCTCTTCTCCAGCAGTTTGTACAAAGGAATTAGTTCATCCAGTCCTTGAAGCACAGGAGTATTTTCAGATTCATGTTTTAGGTATAATGTTAAATCAAGAGCTTTGGTAATTGACAGCTTTCCAACACTATGGAAAGCAGAAAGTGTCTATTAGCACATAAAAGTGTTTCTAAGTGACTGAAAATACATATGAGAAAAATAAAATACCATGTTCTCTTTAATAC